TTTCACACGAAGTATATCTTAGTAACAGGTTAGGGCATGTTGCTGCTTTTTGAAGAGCTAATAATCAAAGGGCCTGACATGATAGCATATGGGCACATTGCCACACGGTATTAATGCCTAAATTCTAATCTTCACCTTCAAAAAAAAAAAAAAAAAAAACCAAAAAAACTTGGGACTAGAAACTATTTTAGTGTTTGGTGAAAGCCATGATGATCTCCATCTCTAGAAAAAACTGAATTGAGCCGTGATGCTAAAATCTTGCAGTGCTCAGTAACAAATGCATCTTCTGTATCATTTGGCTGAAATGCATTGTCCATTTAATTGTAAACTCTAGAGACTATGTTTTTTATTTTGTATAGCTCCAACGTCACTGCTGACATTCTTAACGTGTTGATTGTAAACATCCAACTAAGTTATTAACAATAGACTTTAAAGAGGGTAAATAAGAACTTAGTTCTCCCTCGAAGGATGTTTCTGTATGGACAAGGCCTTTCAATTTGTGTTTTTCAAGTGAAAAGGTAGGCCTGATTTTCAGGTCCATTAAAGCTGGGTTTTTTCCCCGGGTTTTACATTTATACTGATATAACTTCACCAATGCCAAACTGCTGCAAGGAAAAAACCAGTGCCGCAAACTAAGCCTGATCTAAGCAGATCTGAGTTCTTTCTAGCGCCTACATAATCACTGTAATAAATGTTCTATAATTAGATGGGTGCTGTTTATGATCCTCCAGCAAGAAAGAACTGGATTCTATCATTGCAGAGCTGTGTGGGCAGGCTGTATTAATAGGAGGAATGGCAGGTAGTTAAAATCTCACTGAGGCAAACAGGTATGGCTCTGAATACATACAGAAGCTGATCTCTTGTATAACAAGGAGCTGTTTTTCTGAGCTTCACTGAAATGTATCCAAGAACTGTTCTGTGGGGTTTTTTTATTAAAGAAGCAAAATACTCTTGAGCACTGGACATTTGATGGTGTTAAAAGTTCTGTATGTAGCAACAATAGTAACTGGACAGCTTGGGAAAATGACAATATTATTTGGGAGTGGGGTGAGATATAAAATGAAGTAAACCATTCATGACATGTTTTTGTTGTCTTTCAACAATATTGCAGAAGAAAGCAGTGAATTACCTGGTGGAGGGGAATACAGTCTGTGAAAACCAACTCGGCACACCAGGCTACAAAACTGAGCAGGAACACACTGGTACAGCCTTTGACACACTTGCTTGCCTTTATTTTTCAATTCTGCATTTCTTTGAAGCTGTTGGAAGGCAGCTAATAAAACAGGATTTTGTATTTTCTCCATCTGCAAGATAAACAAACTTGGTATAAATTGATAGAGGATTGGAGGCTTATGCTGCTGCTCATCTAAGTGCTGTTCTTTAAGAAGCCCTTCTTGCTTTCAGCTGAACAGCCAGGCAGTCAGTCTGTCTAAAGGAGGAAGAATCAGGGCCATGGTGCTTTCCTCTGAAGCCAGAATGAATTGTGCCCTACTCCAGTGGTATCTAATGAGTGAGTTGTGTTAATGAGTGTTGTGTATGTACTTAGGCTCTGCCAGGAGTTGTGTACGGCCAGTGAGAGGTTCTGCAGCCTTGATTCTTGTCTAGTTTCAGCTCTGCCTGCATTACAAGTCTTCTGTCAACAGACAGTCTCTGCCATCAGGAAATCACCACAATACCTTGTTACTTGTGTGGCTTCCTGCAGCTTCGCTACAGCAGCCATGTAGCCCAGAAAGCGCTCGCTGTTCAAGGGATTATGGCAGAAGTCATGCCACACTTACCCAGGATTTCTGTTGGCTTCCCCTACGGTGGCAAAATCTTGTTGTTTGAGTAGCAGACATTCATAGGGGTAAACCTAAGATGTCCTGCCTCAGTTCTGTTCTACATCCATCGGATATGTTTTGCCCCCAAAGGCACATCCATGTGCCCTCCAGCTTTGTGTCCTGAACTTTACTACCGACTCCCTCGGGAACAAATCAGCATCCTTATCACTCAGGCTCTACTAAAACTCAGCACTTGTGGCTGCAAAGCGTAAGGCCGATTTTTACAGTAACTTCTTAAATGTAAACTAAGGATCTAACCACATCTTTTTGAGAGATCAGCTCCAATGTTGTTGTTTTTTTAAACAAAAAGTCCTTTTCATTAAGCAGTAGATTTAAGCTTCATTCCCAGTCTCACTGTCTACTCAATTCCTCTGAGTCGTATGTTTTGATTATTATTTTTTAACTCTTAATACCATTTGGGGCCTGAACACAAAGTTTGCCTAAAGGTAAATTCACAATTATTTGAAAAAATACATTCTCTTCACCTTAACAATCCGAAGACCGTTTTTTTCAAACTGTCTCTTTCTGTCCCTGAATTCCTGACACTTTGGTTCTACCAGTGTGGTCCGGTACTGGATTATGGAAGGTCCTGTCTGGTGTTGGTGTCTTCCTGAAATAGGATCAGTTCCCAGTTGTCCTGGACACAAGTAACAGATATTTAAATTAAATCATGTAAGACTTTTACCAATTAAGTGCTTTGCCCAGGAGTCTTAGTTGGCTGGACCCTAATCTGCCCTTTCCTAGTGGAACCCCAGGTGGGTGTTGGCAATGCAATTACAGACCGACCTGTGAAATAAATTGCAATCCTCTGGCAATACTTGTCCAGCAAGTCAACTGAAGTTAACAGGCTAACCTGTGATCTCTCAAGAGTGTGGATAGCATCCATTACCAAAAGTATATAGTATTTAAGCACAGGGATTCTTTTCATCATATGTCAGAACTATTAGATATGGTCACCTAAATAGGGGGCAGTATCTGTACCAAAACTTTTTCATATTTCTTTGTTCTTACTAACTTAACCCCACTCACCTTTGGACAGCAGCATTTCCTCTTGTTTGACCATATTCTTCTCTTGTGCATAATACAGCATGTTTTCAATTGCAAATACTGCTTCAATCACAGCATCAGGAGAACCTTGAATCTCTAATCTGGTCTTTCCACCTTTCACCTCTTCTGATATGGACACACCCAAGGACTGCTGACAAGAAAGTTCCACAAACTCTTTTTTGCCAAAGTTAAAAATGTGGTGGTTTTCTATCTGGAAAAGGTGACTTTCCTGGACTTCTGCTAGGTTTTTGATCCACGTTTTTGCCGCTTCCAGTGTCTCGCATCTATTTCCGCTAAGTACAATGACTGGTGTATCTTTCTTATTCTTTGCTTCAGCTTGTCTGTCTGAACCAAAAATAAATATTATTTAAAGTACAATCAGGACACTGAAAAGTTTCCAAGTACTGTCACACAAAATGTTTAAAAGTAGCCTGCATGGAGCACTACAGGGAACCAGACTGGTTTTTTTGGCACTTGTAAAAAGATACATTATTGTTGGAAGATTTTTTTATAATGATATAAACAGTAGTTAGGTGTTGAACTCACACTGACTTAGTGGGAACTGGGGGCCTACCTGCAAATTCTGCCTTTGATAAAGGATGAATCCTATTTCTCTTACAGAATGTGGCAGATCTCTCCCTGGCTAAAGCCCAACCAGGATCTACTTCCCCTGCACTTACCAGATATATCTCCCGCCTACCTGTAAAACTCCATTGCATTTTATGTCAAATTAAATGTCAGTTCTTCTACAAGCCAGGTAAGGGCCTGTATTTCCCTTTCTTGATTTTATTTTTCTTGCCATGTTACTTCATCTTGGGTTTTAAAATGAAGTTGCTGTTACAGGGACCATGTAAGCTGATAAAATTAAGTGTTTACATAGACCAGCCATGTAAGCTTCACTTTTAACTCTCCACATGTATGTGTGGTAACTCTTAACATGAATACACTTCTAAGTGGAGATGACTGAGAGGGTGCTGCATTCCTTAAAAGGCAGTGTGGCCTGGAGTAAATTAACTATCTGATATTTCAATTAGATTTGTGGATTTTCTTTTTTTTAATTAGGAAGCAAATCAGCAAAAAAAAAAATCAATGTTCATCACTTGCTCACTTAGTACTGGCTGAAGAGAACTCTTAGCTTGTTAAAAGATTCCTTCTGATAGAAACGCTACTTTAATTTTGATTTGTATGTCTTTCAGTAGGTTGGAGCACTGCAAAAAAAATCACAAGCGTCTGAACAGCTGAATAGTAGCAGTTAATGTAGCAATTACATTGGGTTTGTCCAACTGACAGTCTGAGAAGAGTAAGAAAGAAAAAAGAGAAAAAGACAGTCGTGACACTAAAATAAGTTCTACAAAACAGTACTCCAAAAGAGGGTAATGCCTTTCCCCACCAATCATAACTGGTTGGGTCCTTTTCACCTCTTATCAGTTGATCTTACACACACAAAGAGTCAAACTGCAAAGTTTCTATACGCTTCCTTCCCCATGATGTTTTTTGGGAAACTGTCATTTTCAGAACTGTATCCAGAGCATTCATGACTCACCCAAATTCTGGTGTGTATTGCTAATCATCCTCTCTCCCAGCTGGCGTTTTGCTGAATCAAGCTTCATTTTGAAAGCCTTGGGGGGAAAAAAAAGATGATTTGGAACCCGTTTACAACCAAGTGACTTGCATATCTAAGTATTTTCACACAAGCCATTTGGCTCACCAAGATCCTCTTGAGTAAGCACTATACTACGTTAGTTAAACATATCCAATAAGCTATGGAACAGTGCAGCAGTTAAAACACCAGCTGTTCAGGTGTGACTTGGCCCTGGCCCCAAGAAGTATCATTTCATAAAGGGCCAAATGCTGGTCCCAGTATTACACCTGGCATAAGTTTTGCACAGAAGAAAGTTCAAAGTCACCTGGATGCAGTTCACACAGACCCATGCACCAGCTTGCAGACAGAAGAGGCTGCTTGATCCTCCATCTTTGTGAGGATTTAAGTTGTCACTGTACAGCATCCACTTCTCTACCCCATTCCCAAAGCTCCTCTTGATATTAAAAAAAAAAAAAAGCCCTGGGAGTGCTGCTCTGAGCTGTATGGTATATTTGGGCTTCCTGCAGACTGCCTTCCTGTGCTGCAGAAATTCAATATCCTGAGTGTCAGGCAACAAAAGAGCCTGTGGTGAATAAAATACAGGTTCTGGCATGTTATGGACACACAACCATGTGAGCATGTGCTCCAAGGAAACCAAGACAAAAGACAACAAAATGCAGCTGGGTCAGAGGTCTGGCATGTGGCAAGAAGATACAATCATTCTTCAGTCAAAGGCAAGGAAAAGTATATCACAGGCTAATACTAAGTTAGAAAATAGGGTATTACCCTAAATGCCACTGACTGGAGGGAGAACAAACAGCTCCAGAAGATTACAGCAGAGTGATCAAACCAGCAAAAATCAGCAGTAAAGTTTCTAGAAATTCTTACTTCAAATACTGGAGTGATGCTTCCAAATTCAGGGCCAAATTCAGAGATTATATGCAAGGTGAGATAAGGTATATACCAAGAAGTGAAGGTCTATTGGATCCAAGTGTCAAAACTGTTGTACTTGGCCCATCAGTGTCCCATAGATGTTGTATGAGGAAGAACAAATAGGAGACAGCAGCAGAGGGGCAGGCATTTGCTACATCTTTGTTCCATTCCTTCAGCATGTAAATTAGACTTCCTTATCTCCACTTACTTAGGCAACCTTACCCATCTCATCAGAATTTGATCCTGAGTATGATTCAATATTCCGTTACAGCAGAGGTGGGTAAAACATGACCCGCAGGCCAGATCTGGCCCATCAGGCACTTTCATCCAGCCCACAGCACCCACCAACTAATTGTACCCTGCTCATCCCTTCCGCCCCCATATACACCCCCCCACCAACATCCCTATTGTGCCTCGCTCCCACCCTTGTGAGTGGAAGAGTCCAGCCTGGCCAGCACACAACTTCCAGGCAGGGCTGGAAGGGCCCAGATCTGCTCAGCCTTCCCAGTATCCCGCTCACTCTGGGCAACAGGTAGGGAAGCAGCAGGGGTGGTGGGGGAGCTGCAGCTGGGCAGGAGCATGAAGGGGCTGGTGCTGGTGGTAGTGCAGAGCCCATGCCCAGGGGGGCGGCAGACCTAAAAGAGCTGCATATAACTTTCAGCTAGTATAAAGCGGCACAACTCAGTTGAAGTTACAAATAATGAATACAGCCTTGTCTTTGCAGCCTTTTTATTGTGTACAGGAAAAGCATGTTAAAATGTTCCCAGTGGTCAGAAAGCAGCATCTTCACTGCATCCTTCCTGCCAGCCCCCAGAAATGCAGGCCTGCTGTAAGGGCAAAGGGTAGAATGGCAGAATTGCACATGCTCTCCTAGGGAATCATGTATTGAACTTCCCCAAGACTGTTTTAGGTTACTGCAGGCAGAACCAACTCATAACCTTCTTAATAGGTTGGTGCTCAATCTATCTGGCCCTGTTGGCCAAATGAGTAGCATGGGGCTGGTCCATGGGCATGATCCAGCACAGGATCCAATCCACAGGTGCAATCTGGCACACCAACCTCATTCTGTGCACAGGATCCACCTGCTGCACGACCCCAGTGCTGACGCAATCCAGCACAGGACTATGTCATCTAGTCCACAGGTCTCCCAGAGCTGTCACAGTTAATGACGCCAGCCAAAGTTCAGGACCCACGGAGACCTCAAGAGCTGAATGACATGGCAGACTGGATCTGGATCTGGCCCACAGGCCATAGGTTGCACACCACTGTTATACCCAGTTTCTCTCCCTGAGCCATGCTGCTGGCTGAGAAGGAATGCTGAGCACTGTGTTCTCTGCCAAGTGATCTGCACAGCCATGTTCTCCCAGGATTTGCTTTGATCAAGAGACTGATTCAAGTTGCCTTCTAGGTTCTTGTTTATGTGTCCCATTCAGCCAAGCCTGCTGGCTTTGATCTTTGATTGCCCATGTCAGCAGCAGTGAACGAAAATGCATACTTTACAGGCTTTCTAGCTACAAATGCTCTGTATAGTGAACTTGGTTTGTTAACAATACACTGAAACACTTTTTATTGCTGTTGAGGGTGCTCTCAGCTTGTTGTCGATATGAAACATCTTACCTTATACACGTCATTGTCATTTGGATGAAGCACAAAAAATACTTCTATTCTTTTTGGGGGCTGTTCCTTTGCAAACCTGAGAACTTCATCAATCATAATACCTGCCACTTCATCCTTTGCCAATTGTAACTTCTCAATCCCTAATGCAGGGAAAGAAACTGAAGCAGACTGAAGTCCACGCAGACACTTCGCCATTGCAGTTTTGAGTACCTGCCAAAAAATGAAAGTATTTTAAAACTAACTTTACTTTTTTACCATATAGAAGTAAAAATCCAATTGAATTGAACATCACCTTGTGTTTATCATTGATAGAATGTGGCCATACTACATGGAGCACAGTTTTGCTTGCCAGATTGTGTCCTTTTGTCAATACATGTTGTCCTTCAACAAATGGATGGGGGTTTTTCAACTTGTTCTGAAATTCCTTCTCAAGAGACAGTCCTCCTTTTCCCAGAATGGCTTTTGATACCCCTCCTATCTTTAGATCATTATAAACAGCAACAGAATTCACAATAACATCAGTCTGAAAGAGAAGACAATTTTTAGCACATTTCAGTTTGAGTATGTATGCGTGTTAAGTCCACTGCAATCAAAACTCCCCTTTAAATGTTCCTGCATCTCAGTGTAAAAAATATCCTGCTTACTATAGGTGTTGTAGTTGTGGTGGTACAGAAATTATGTGAGAGGCAAGGATTTCTTAGTGTGATATCTTTTATTAGACCAACTATATAGCCGAGATAGAATTAGACAAGATTTCGAATGCAAGACCTTCAAGACACACAAGACTGGCACTCCCAGTCTCCGGAGCCTACTGGAGCCCTTCAAGGCTCTGGAGCACTCCCGAGGTTGGAATGCTGATCAACTGACTGGCGCTCCCAGCCACAGGCATGCCATGAACCCAGTTTGCTACCTACTGGTACAGGGAGATCCCAGGACCACGATCCTGGGCTGCCCCTGTACTGTAAATAGGCATGATTGGGATCTGATCCCCAATCCCACATTCCCATGTGTGACATGACAGAAAGCTTGATTGTTGGACTTGGGGATCAGATCCTATTGCGCCTTTAACTGAATATCTGTCAATGGCCTCTGGGGTACTCGAACCTGGAGGAGGGGAATAACAAAACTGTGGTTGCCTCTTCTGCAGGAAAACAATATGGAGAAGGTAATTCCCAAGCTCTCTCCTTCTTCCCTCAGTGCACTCATGAGGGCAAATATAAATTGGAACTAAATATGCACAATAAAAGAAAAAAACCTTTTCATTACCATGGTTTGATCACAAAGATAGAGACTCAGACCTTAACATGGCTGTTCAAGGGTAACTAAAAATACATGGCTTTTAGGCACACTCATGTTCAACTTCTTGAAAGGAATGAAATACTCTACTGCCTTGTCTAACTCACTCATGCAGGATCCCCTGCCATACATTTTGCTGCCTCTTATCTCCACATCTTAAAATTATGTGCATCAGGGAGAATTGAGGCATTTCTTCAACAAACAGATTGTAGAAAAATTCTGTGAGATGCATTAGTCATCAGTAGCAGGCACTATTGTTAAAGCTGCCATGTAGCTTCCAGCCTAATCCTCCCTTCTGGTTTATTCCCAACTAGATTTAACAAAAAATCTCTCTCTCTCTCTCTCTCTAATTAAAGAATTTAAAATAGATATACAGAATATTAAATAGTTTTATGACTTGCTGCATAGGGAAGGACATAAAGCAATAGCTTCAAATTGCAGCAAAGCAGAGTTAAGATTAAATCTCAGGAAAAACTTCCTTACTGTACAGTAAGGCATGGGGAATAGACTGCCCAGGAAGCTGAAGAATCTCCATCACTAGAGGTTTTCAAAAAAGAGGTTGACAGGCATGGACTAGGGATGATTTAGGATTAGCATTCCTGAATTTGAGCAAGGGACCAGATGATCCCTGAGGTCCCTTCCAACACTTACAATATGATGAATTCCATTTTAAGTCACACAGAGTTTTAAGGATGTTGTGTACCGTTGCTTTGTTTTTAAATAAAATATTGTCAGCTGTACCAGTCTATGCTGAATGCCCCAGTGGCAAGAAGAATTCATCCCATTCCCAAAGAAAAGTGGAATGCCATAAAAGCTAGACAAGCCACCTTGTAGAGAACATATCAAAACCTGTTAATTATCAAAATAGTATACCAGAATCAATGTTAAAATAGGAGAGTAATATTATGAACTTTCCTGCTTTGTCTGCTGTTATCTCTCTGTAGTCTAATGGCAGCGTGTACCCAGAAAAGAAATTTAAATTTTTTAAAACTCAAAGTCATATTAAGAGATTAAGACTTTTTCTAGGTTAACTGATGCTAAGCCTGGGTGATTAAAGGCAGGAGGTCAAGATGCACATTTAAGAGACCGAGAGGCCACTACGAGATGGTCCATGATCTAGCATCCTGCACCCTGCTGAGATGCAGATCTGTGCTCGGCATTTCACAGGATACAGGGTGAAGACTTACACACTGATTTTCAATGAGCCCTCTTTTGATGTGTAGGCAAAGGCCATTGATGGTGATGGAATCTGGAGACAAGCTGGATGAAGCTGGCGCAGTCCCCTGAAGTGCACTGGTGTCACTCTTGCCCAGGTATTCTTCACAGGCCCGTTTTATTGCTGCAACTGTGGGCTCATCAATGTTTACCAAGCGGATTTCTTTCAAAGGGGGAAATACTGGAGCCAGATCCACAAATGTTTTTATTGTCTGTACAATCACAGAAGCACACAAATCTAGTGGGAAGCCAAAAATTCCTGAGCTCACTGCAGGGATAGCCACAGACCCAATGTAATTCTCTGGTTGATTAACATAGGTCAGGATGTTTGCAATAGCTGCCTCAAGCTTGTGACAGCATTCATCCTTGTTATATGCCAGCCACCTGGGGCCTACAGTGTGGATAACTCTCTTACAAGGAAGCCTGCCTCCACCTGTTACTGCTATGTTCCCAGCACTGAGTGTCCCATAGTGTTCAATATGAAGTCTGCTCTGTTCTTTAATTGTTGGCCCCCCAGCTTCTGCAAGAGCAAAAGCAAGTCCTGCACCATGATCCAGATGTTCATTAGCTGCATTGACCAATGCATCAGCATTGTGTGTTGTAATATCATCCATCCAAACAGAAACCGCAATTCCTCTTTTTGGACTTTTCCTGTACACTTCAACGGGGCATGGTCTACCCTTAAAGACTGACGTGCAGACAAACTTCTTCTGAAGCAGATCACGTAGACAGCCCTCTCTCTTCTTAAGGATTTCATAAACATCTCTATTGATGATGATGGTTACGTTTTCCTCCTCCATGGCCATGTCGGACTCTATGGAATAAAATAACCTGGGAGAAATGCAGCAATTTCATGTCAAAAACATCATTTTCAATTAAGACCAAGTTCAAGCTTTTAATAATTTTATTTTAAATTGGCTTGGGATGTTAAGCAAAAACCCGTTACCAGTCATTCCTATTGGCAAAGTTTTCTCTGCTCCCTTCCTACCTCAGAGCCACTATAAGAAGGACCAGTTATGGGCTCTCATCACCAGTAAACCAAGGAAGCAAAGGACTTCCAAATGAGAACTTCCTTATGATCCCTGGCCTGGCCATTCTTGAAAACCTTTTCTCATCTACTTTCACTGCAACTCTCCTCCCACCCTGTCTTATGATTATGCTGATGCGGTCGTGTTTGATCCAAGTAGCTGCCACTTCCTGACTTCAGAGGGAACTCGTGCCCCCTTCCTCTGCCCACATCAACTTCCCTGTCAAGCAGGTCCCACCATCCCAGCCTTCTTTAGGTCCTTCCCTTCCTTGTCCTTTTCATCTCTTTATGCTTCGCCACTGATGTGAGTTTTAGGACACTGGGAACTCATCTTTGTGCATTTTAAGGAACCAGCAGCATTCTGGACCAGAAAGCTGGTGAACGCTTGGTTTTCTGCTCTCACATTTTCACCCAAAAGACAACTGCAGTCCTGCAGCTGTATATGAACAGGCACGGGGTACCCAGCTTAAGTTCCTTTTAGCCAATGTTCTTTGACAGAGAACTGAGCAATTTCATCTTCTCTCCCTGGTAGCAGGGTATCTTCCTTGAAAGAGTCCCTCGGACACTGGCAGCAGCTAGTCCCTGTGTAATGCAGCTTGATTTCCAAATACTTCTTGCGATTTGCCAGGCACTGTAATGCATACCTTTTCAGTGGGGAGGTTGCCACTGCACCACTTGTAAGGTCCCCTGGATTCTGTTATCAGACCCTCAAGCTCTCGAGCCTTTTGTGCAAGAAACAGCTGCCTGGCATTACCCCGAGCTGCTACTGCCCCCCCCCCTGAAAACAACTTTCTCAAAGGTGCTCTAAGAAACAAAGTGCAGCACACAGCAGCAAAGATACTGCAGGCTCTGTGATGAAAGCAGCACTGGAGGAGAAACTGTTGGGTGACCATCCCATAACAGTTGCTGCTTCAACAACATTTTATCCTACTCTGCTTGGTGTATATTTGAATAACCAGCATTGATCTGGAAAGTTTATTGTCCTGTTCCCATGTCATTACCATTGCCAAGTACTGTAATCCCCTGTGATGGAAGGTTTCCATAGAACTACATATCCTAGATATCCTTTTAACTTGATTGTGCAAATCCTTACAGTCTGCAGGAACTGATCACATTTTTCACTGAGGTATCTGCCTTAACATGGAACTTAAAATAGACTGTTCAGCACTTCAATATTCAGAAGATGCCCTGAATTTGGAGGAGCGTTGTTGGGTTATTTTTTTTTTTTTTAACTCAAAGCACCTTTGCTTATGCATGACTATACTGTAGTTTTAAAGTCGCTAGCTATAAGTGGAAGCTACATAAAACTGATATCTGTATCTAGCCCACAAATGCTGGTTTAGCTACTTGTATGCCTTCAGATGTACTTGTTTTATTTTTAAGTGAATTTTTAGTTCCAGTGGAACAAGTTAATACTGTATTTACCTGAATACAAGATGACCCTGCATGTAACATGACCCCCCAATAAGTAAATTCTATTAAAGGAAAATTTATAAATGTATTACTACTTTCCATGTATGAAATCTAATTATTAGAGGATCATCTTAAATTCTACCCACCCACACTACTGCAGGTGATGGGGGCAGCAATGGGGCAGATGGGGGGAACAGACAGTGGGGAAGGGCAGGTGGTAGGTCAAGCAGTGGAGAGAGAGTAAAGGGGCAGCTCATGGAGGGAGCAGTGGGGGACAGGCAGTGTGGGAAGTGGTGGGGCAGGCAGTATGCTCCCTGGCATATGTCCCCCTGCCCTCATTATGCCTACCCCTGCAGCCTCAGGTCCCTAAGCCCCTTCCCCTGTCCCCTCCATGCCACTTCTACCCCCCTCCCAGCCTTGGGTCCCCACCCCCCAGCAAATCTCTACCTGCCCCTCCCTACGTTCACCTTT